TTCTATTTCCTAATCTTCATTTTACTTACTTTCTTTAAATGCATTAATTGTTCTTTACATTTTCAGTGAATCTTAGTTTCATGATCTATTTAATAAGCTTCTTTATTTACTTATTAGATAAATCTTCATGTTCTTTTCCAACTTTTTTTTCTAATTAGGTTTTTTTCTCTTTTCACAGCCTACTTGGCAAAGTTCAAAACATGTCATAGTTTAGACTTTTCGTCTTATTCAGATAAGTCTTCGTGAATTTCTTTTTCTAATTTTTTAATTTAATCAATTCCTTTTTCCTTTTTTATTGTAAAGTGCCCCTTTTTTCTCGTACTTTACTGTCATGACTGTTCTATAAATTTTTTTTGTATTATGTCTATTATTATAATTAATTTTTTTTTTTTTTTTTTTTATCATTTTATATTATTTTTTATATATATATATATATGTATTACTAATCCTTCTTTTACAGGTTTTTAATTAGGTCTTTGTAGGTTTGTCCTTACTGGTATATCTCCAAAATATATTCTTTTAGAGTCAGGAGATCAAGTAGATTGTTAGCCATGAGTTGGTATCTACTGAAATTGGTTCAGTAAATGGCTTCTCTTAGCTTTAACTTTCTCATAGTGAAATAACTTCTAAAAGTAGGGTAAGTATAAATGAAGTATATATTTTTATACTCAATATGCTAAGCAGAGAAGGCTAACTTCTGTCTTCTCTTTTTAGTCATCTTTTGGTACTAGAATACTGGTACATCAATAGATTTCACTCCTTTTTTAGGTATCAGTGGTTCTTCAGTATTCTCCTTCATTGGAATCTGAATAGTTAATTCTGTTTCTAGTAAGTCTGAATTATTACTAACTTTTGGCTTAGGTTTATTTATTAATTCAAGGCCTTCTTTTTTCGTAGTTTTGGCTTTAGTTTCTATCTCTTTAGATAAAGTAAGGTCTGTTTTTGTATTTTCTGTATTCATACTTTCTTTTCCCTTATTAATCTCAGTATCAAGATCCCAATCAGAATTATTATTTTCCTTGACTACTACGATACTATTCACCCAACTAATGATATTATTTCTTATTGATGTCTTCTTAATCTTATACTCTAGGTCTATATCCTACCAGGTTTCACCTGTACCTAAATTTAGTGTATATTTCTATCTCTGTTTTTTTTAGTCAAGTATACTAAAATTCAGTTGTTTTTCTTATTTCTAAATACTAATTCTATCTTCTCTTTTTAGGTATCCTTTGGCTTTTTTTTCATCAGAAGGTAAAATGTATCAATCTAAAGGGGTTGTATCGAATCTCATAGTAACTACTAAAATATCATCTGGAAAAACAGTGAGTCTGTTGCTCAATCTTATAGATCTTCATGTAATGAATCAGGATAACCTATCAAAAGATGGCATAGTGATTAGGC